ATTACGTCATTTACTCACATTGCGGACGTTACCCTAAATTAAACGGTTTCTATCTAACCGTGGTTTTTTTTTACAAATGCCAATTTTTTTATTCTTATGAGCTTTGTTGGCTAGTACAGTACATGTACCTTTTCATTTTAGAACAAGCATGAGCAAACTGAAAATATTGAAAGAATTAACGAAGGAAGAGAAGATGGAGGTGGAGAGCGATGGAGAAGAAAGCCATGCTTCCGATGAAGAATCATCGGATTCTGAACATGAAGGAATGGTGAGTTCAAGTTTATGTTTATTTGGATGCATTAAAAATTTTTTGGGACATATGATTGTGTATAGTTGATCGCTATCTGCTCAGTTGCTGGGTAACGATTATATCAGATTGAAAGTTGTTTAGCAGAACTTTGTTACCTTTGACATTTTCAATTTACATCTTAGATTCCTTATTTCTGATGTTTTGAAGCAGATTATCAAAGTAAATTGTTGAAACACACTTCCTTCGAGTTGCTTTTGTTTATCTGACCAGCAACATTAACTGAGTTAAAGAACAGGAAGCTTAAGATAAAATTCTTTCTACACTGAGTTTTTTTATTTTTAATCGATAAGCTTTTTTTAAATTTTAGTTTCGCGCTTGCTAAACAAATCTCTTGATCAAGCTCAGTACTACAGTTTCTGTAAAGCTTTCAAGGATCACAAAAATCACGTTGGGGACTTTGTATGCTTAAGATTGCTACTTTTGGATACCAGTTTTGATGATCGGGGTAAGCTTATAATTGTAGAGTTATTGGATGTGGTCCCTCTGTACTCTTGGTAATATTTTCAATGAATACTCTTGGCAATACGTAGCGCCCATTCTTGCAGTTGTTTGTACACGCAAGTATTGACGGAAAATTTCTCGAAAGTTAGCGTGGGAGAGGAAGTAATGAAAAAAAGCAGGAATAGACGGCAGCAGCCACGCCTCGTTTTATTCAGTTCTCTGGAATCCACAACCGCTTATTGAAATATTTAAAATAGTTTGCCGTATAGTGACTGGAAATAGGCATTATCATTTCCAGGCTACTTTCAAGCGTTGTGCTGATACTTGGCTACCAAGCGTTAGTAAACGTGACTGTCAGCCCATTTGTGTGTTCTGGTGTAAATCGAAAACTAGAGT